GGTGTCCTTCTCCGATCTCTCGTCCTAACTCCCTCGCTGACCTGTCCCTGAGACACTACAGTGGCCAGGACTTTAGTTATTTCCCTATGACGCTTTTTATCTCTCTCTTCCTGCCTCTGCCATAATCTCTCTTTCCGCTCTTCGGGAGTTTTTCTCTTATTAAACACTTTTTCTGCCTCTCTCAATAAATCTGACAAACTGAGTGAATGCAATCCTTCTAGTCTCTGTAACTTGGCCCTTATATCTGGACTTGACTGATAGATGAAAGACAGTATGACACCCGGTGCCTGTCCTGGATCTTCTGGATCGTACGGGGTATACATTCTATATGCCTCTCTAAGCCTTTCCAAGAACGCTGCCGGCGTTTCCTCCTTTCCCTGGGTTACATTTCTAACCTGGGCCAGATTGGTAGGGCGTCTAGCCGCCCCTCGGAGACCCGCCAAGAGCAACTGGCGATAGAGACGTAGGTGCTCCCTACCTTCTGGGGTCGCGAAGTCCCAGTTCGGGCGGGTGAGGGGAAAGGCTGCGTCAATGATATTAGGCAATTGGGTGGGTCTTCCATCGTCTCCTGGAACCCGCTTCCGAGCCTCCAGGAAGACCTGTTGCTTTTCCTCCACCGTCAGGAGGGTCTGCAGTAACTGCTGACAATCTTCCCACGTGGGCTTGTGGGTCACTAAAATGGATTCAATCAGGTTAGTCAAGGCAACAGGGTCCTTAGAGAAAGGAGGATTATGTTGTTTCCAGTTGTAGAGGTCAGAGGCTGAGAACGGCCAGTATTGGAGCTGGTGGTTAGGACCTTCCCTAAGGGGAAAGGCTCTGGACTCCTTGGCTGGCTCTTCGCGCTTTCCTCGTAGGCGACCGGCAATTGGGGAGGGAGCCGGAGTCTCATCTTCCCTCTCTCTCCTTAGAGGCTGTTCAGGCGCCTCCGTGGGGGCCGTCGGTCCCTCCGGTGCCATTGCAAGGGCCACCGGTCCCTCCGGTGCCCGATTCCCTGGGTATGGTGGTGGGTCCTCTGTTAGGAGATCAATAAGAGGTGAATTGGGGTCGGGGGGAGGACAGGAGCCTTAGGGGAATCCTTTCGTGGGAGAACAGGGTAAAGGGAGGAGGAAGCAGGGGCGGGAGGGAGCAGTGGTTTGGCGCCCGCGAGTGGCGCCGTCCCTCCTGAGCCCCCTTCCTCAAATCAGGGCTCCCCAGTCGTCCCAGAGCCGGTCCCAGCACACCGCCACAGTGGAGGAAGTGCACTCGGTAGTGGCCCTTCGCCGGTCGGGGAGCAGTCTCCCGCCGATCCCATCCCCGGCCCCGCCTGAGCGCCGGCACCACAACCTGCAGCCGCCTGCGCGTTCGCCTGCGCGTTCCCACATCCCACGCTCGCCTGCGCGCCTGCCTGCGCGTTCCCATATCCCACACCCGCCTGCGTGCCCGCCTGCGCGTTCCCATATCCCACACCCGCCTGCGCCGGAGTGGCGGCCCGCGCGGAGAGGAAAAGACTTGCTGGTGTGGGGTTAGGGAGGAACAGGGAGTGGGAGGGATCTGCCGATCTGGCTTCCTCGGCCCCGGGATTCGGCGAGCGCTGCTGCTGCCGGGGGGCTGAGGGGAAGAGAAACGGCTTAACCCATGGGGGAGGTTCTGTTGTCAGGAGTTTCCCCATGGCAATGTATGGGACCTGGTCCGGGTGGCCATGGGGACTGGAAGTAAAAATTTTTCCCTCCACCTGTGAAATAAGACTGAGGTTAAAGGTTCCCTGACGAGGCCATCCTACATCCATTCTAACCCAATCGGCCTCGCAAAGAGTGATCCATTTTTTCTTCTTAATTACGACTCCTTCGTTGTTGGCTCGTGTCTTTACGTCTGACCAGTGTTTAAGCGTGAGGCTCAAGGGGGTGGTGACAGTCTGTCCCATGGCTGTTTCTAGGAGGAGAACGGTTAAACAGAAAACAAGGAACGACAGACCAATATAAATAAGACTAACACGCGCTGCGCGGCTTCGGTTCCAAACCGAAAGCAAAACCTCAGAAGGAGACTGCGAGGGTCCAGCCCCCTCTTCTCCAACCAACACAACGTATCCCTCGGATACGTGAGTGGCCCCAAAAAACCGTGCCCCAGAGGGGACTTTAAACCGTGCCCCAGAGGGGTCTTCAGACCGTGCCCCAGAGGGCATTTCAGACCGTGCCCCAGAGGGCACTTCAGACCGTGCCCCAGAGGGCACTTCAGATTCCCTTGGAACGTCTTCCAGGGTTCCAGTGGCGAAGTCCGGGCCCGTTGGCCCCCCCTTTCAGATCCACTGACACAGACAGATTATCAGGCGCAGGTGCGGAGACAAACAAACAACATTCAACACTCAGACAAACAGACAACACTCAGACAGGACAGGGATGACATAAACCAAGGCCGGCCGGCTTACCTCCTGATGGTGGGTCGGTGGTCCAAGGGAGGGGTCTCATTCCCCGTACGGGCCACCAAATGAAAGACCCCCAGGGGAGATCTTCCTCCAGGAGAGACCCCAAACCCGAGGAACACACCGAAACCACAGATCAGATGCAAACAGCAAGAGGTTTTATTAGATGCACAGGTACCTGGGGCCAAGTCTCTCGGAGGACTTGCGCGCCTACCGAGGGCAAAGGGGACTTTTTATGGGATTTCAGGGGCAGAGGCGTGGTTACAGAAGCGAGAAGCATAGTTACAGGGTCCCTATTGGCTGTTTTACAGAGGGCCAGGGTGAACTTGGGGTCGCGTTCTTTAATTATCAGAAGTTTGATGTGTGGCTGACTTGGCCTTGTACATCGTATAGTGGGTGTTTTTCCAGCCCAGCCGCTTGTTCTTCAAGGCCAGGGGCCCGCCATAAAATATCCTCAACTGTCTTACTCCCAAGGCCGCTGACCCAATTATCCCCTATCTTAGGCCGGATGGCTGGCCACAGTTATCTCTTTCTTCCAAGGCCGGCTGGCTAGTTAGTCACAGCTGTGAACTCCTGTTTTTCTGATTCCTGCAGAATGGCGTTTCTAAGGCCAAGTTATTGGGGGGGGGGGCATAACATCGGCCCAACGCCCCATATCCTCATAATGGAGTGGGGTCCTTCAAGAGGGTGGAATCCCATGTCATGCCTGGCTTCATACAGTGGACCAGGGAGACCAAGGCATCTAACACCAACAAATGCAGTCTCAGTAGAACAAGAGGTTACCTTGGTGAGTCCAGAGGTCCTAGTATATCTGCTTCACAACCATACAGGCAGCTCCTCCATCACTCCCTCCTTCTTTCCACAAGCCAGATGCACACAGGTGCATCCAGATAGTCCTTTCATGCCATTTCATTTGGCTTCTGATGTTGGGGCCTTTGATTGTTTTCTTTCAACCCCATCATTTTATTTTATCAACTGGGTAGAATCACATTTTATATCAATTATTTTTGAAGCAAATTTTTTTTTAATTTCTTCTTAAACAACACAAAGATATGGTGATATTTTATTTGTGCTGAAATGTGATTTTATTTGTGTGTTAATAAATAAAAGTGCCTGGGGGTCAGAGCTATTAGCAAGCCATAGCAGAAGTCTGGCAGTGGTAGCACACGCTCTTAATCCCAATCACATGACAGGCAGATTTCTGTGTGTTCAAGGACACCACCAGCATGGAGACACACACCTTTAATCTCAATACCAACCATAGAAGACCTGGAGGTCTGTATAGCAGGCAGTGATGAGGAGGTCATGTGGTTTGTTTTACAGCCAATGAGAAGGCAGAACAGAAAGTCAATAAAAAGACAGATACACAGGAAGTAGGATTCTTTCTCAGGGGTAGGACAGCAGTGGCAGCAAGGGGTAAGAAGGCAGTTGTAGTCTCAGCTCTAAGCTACTGCTCTGACTTCTTGGGCCTTTAACTCTGCATTTGGCTCTGTGTTTCTTATTTAATAAGACTGTTACATCTACATTTAGTGCCCACGTGGCAAGAATTTATTAAAAACTGCTTGGCTCGGCCGGCTCCCTGCCTTGGCGGGCCCAGCTTCCTGGCTCAGGCCAGCTTGGCCTAGGCTCCAGGTTACCCGTAGTGCTATGAACATCTCAGGCCCTGTGGGAGCTACCAGTCCAGCTGCACTCAACTGTAGTTGCAGCAGCTCACATGGTTGGAGCTTGAGGAAGCCGGAGGCCAGGCTCAACTCTGCTCAAACAAGAACTCATGGCTGGATTTCAGTTTTTAGCCAGAACACATGGCTACATCTTTTTCGTTCCTTTCAATCTCTCTCTCTCTCTCTCTCTCTCTCTCTCTCTCTCTCTCTCTCTCTCTCGCTCTCGCTCTCGCTCTCGCTCTCGCTCTGGATTCCCACCTTGGACACTAGGTAGCTGTTTTTAAATTCCATCAGAATTCTACTGTTTTACACAAATTTGGTAAGTCAATTAAGATATCAGATATTTTAAAGGAAAAACTATTTAAAAGAGAAAATTTCTTGCCATATTAAAAAAAAAGGGTATGTGTACATTAGAAGAAAATTGGACTTTGATTGATAAAAGGTTAGGCAGTCTGAAAATGGAACAACTATATGAGAAGATTAATGTTGATGGGATATACATTACATCAATTATGCACATTATGACTTTCCTTATCCTTATTTTACTATTTAAAAAGATAGTCAATTTAAGTGCCAGGATAAAAGCTTTAGAAAAACCTGCTAAAATGAATTATAGAGAAATTCAGATTCAGACAGAAGAAATTAATGGTGAAATTGTTTCAGGACTGCAATCATAAGGTTACAGAAAGAAAGCCTGTTTTCACACAATCACCCTTAATGTATCCAGTAACTATACAGCAGCTACCTGCTCAAGTAAATGCACAAAATATTTGGACTACCACTGAAATGTTAGATTTACAAAGGTTTAAGGAGGCAATAGTATCTTAGGGCATGTATTCCTCATTTGTAAAGCAAATGTTAAACTCCTGATCAACTTATAATAAGATTATACTGCAGGACAGGTGAGAGCTAATAAATGTTGTCCTGGAACCCAGGGCATAGCTGAAGTGGCAAATGTGGTTCAAAGAGGAAGCTAAAAACAGAAAATCAATGGAAGGCTAGAGGTATGCAAATCTCCCAGGATCAGCTTGTTGGAGAAGACCACTGCAATACAAAGACAATGTTTATATGATAATGAAACCCTAATTTTATGTTGAATGGCAGCCTTGAATGCATGGGACAGAGTTGATGAAGCAGAAAAGAAAACTGAGTCATTTACAAAGGTTATACAGGGCCCAAAAGATTCCTTCACAGATTTCTTACAAGGACTGACTTCAGCAGTAAAGAGAATGGTCCTGAATTCAGAAGCTAGTCAGATAATAATCAAAAATTTGGCTTTTGAGAATGTGAATGCAGCATGCAAGAGAATAATTAGGCCGTTAAAGGCTAGATCTGTACCCTTGGAAGACTGGATTAGAGACACTTTTAATGTTGAGACTCATGACCATGATGATATGTGGATAGGAGAAGCAATTTCAAGAGATTTGAGGAATGTTAGATATTTTGGATGTGGAAAGCAAGGACATTTGAAAAGGAACTGTAAACAGGGCATTCCTAGAAACAATGTTTCTTCAAGAAACAATGGCAACAGAATGCTCCTTTCTTCTGGAGTATGCAGAAGGTGTGGTAAGGGAAAACATTGGACCAACGAATGTAGATCAACAAGGGACAGACAAGGTAATACTTTGCCTCAGTCTTTGGGAAACTTACAGAGGGGCCTCATGCAGGCCCCCACAGCAAATTCAGTTCAGACCTTTCCTGCAGTTGTAGAGGAAACCCTTACTCAGAGCAATTAAAATAAGCAAATGCCTTTTGGAATGAACCAGGCTGCTTGGGGTGATGAAACATCTGAGACAGAGAGAACAGAAAATTTAGGAGAAACCATAAAGAAAACTTGTTAGCAAACTTCTATAATGAACAAAGACCAAAATTAACAATAAAAACAAATGGTGTTTTGTTGTCTGGTCTGATAGACACAGGTGCTGATGTGATCATATTGCACCAAAATTTTGGCATCCAAATTGGCCTCTTTGGGAGGTAAATGTTCAGCTGTTAAGAAGTGGAACATTATCTCAAGTGAAACAGAGTGTAATATGGCTCAAATGTATAGGTCCAGAAGGACAGAGAGGAAAATTAAAATGTGGCTAACATAGCTATGAACTTATGGGGTAGAGCACTGTTACAACAATGGAATACTCAGATTAACATCCCTCCAACCTCAAAAACAAATCATAAACTAGCACATTTTTCTGAGAGAAATATTAGAAGGTATTATTCTAAAGAGTTGTCACCAGCCATCAAGATTGTACAAGAACAGGGCACAACAACTTTTGACCTTCCAAAGACATCACCAGCTCTACCTTTAAAATGGTAAACAAAAAAGCCTGTATGGGTTCATCAATGGCCTTTAACAACAGAGAAACTCCAGACTTTAGAAGAGCTGGTAGAAGAGCAGTTAAATACTCAGAATATTCAAGAATCAACCAGCCCTTAGAATTCTCCTGTATTTGTTATTAAAAAGAAATCTGGTAAATGGAAAATGGTAACAGACCTAAGAGCAATTAACAAAGTAATTCAGCCAATGGGCTCTCTACAATCTAAAATTCCTTTGACTACTTTGTTACCTAAACAATGGCCTCTTATAGTTATCGATTTAAAAGACTTTCTTTTCAATACCCATACAAGAAAAAGACAGAAAAAGATTTGCCTTCACGGTGCCTACTTATAATAATTCTCAACCGGTTAAGAGATATCACTGGAGGGTCCCTCCAGAAGGAATACTGAATAGCCCAACCCTGTGCCAATATTTAGTACAACAGCCATTGGAAGTAATAAGTAAAAAATTTCCTAAATATATAATTTATCATTACATGGATGATATTTTACCAGCTGACTCAAAAGCAGATACATTAGAAAGAATGTTTGAAGAAGTAAAGAAAATTTTGCATTGCGGGGATTACAAATAGCTCCTGAAAAGATACGAAGAGGAGGTTCTAATAATTATTTAGGATATAAAATAAGTCTACAAAAAAAAATAGACCCCTAAAGGTGCAAATTAGGAGAGATCAATTATGGACTCTTAATAACTTTGAAAGATTATTTGGAGACATTTCCCATCTATGAACTTTTGCTGGGGTAAAAAATGATGAACTGAGTAATTTATTCAAAACCTTAGAGTTGACAAAGACTTAAATAGTCCAAGAGAATTATCACCTGACTGAGAAAGAATTGGCCTTGGTAGAAAAGAAAGTACAGGAAGGACATGTGAATCATGTGGATCCAAAGCTGGAATTGCATTTTTGTTATTTTACCCTCTAGGTATTCTATAGCAGGGATTTTGATGCAGAGTGAAGATATTATATTGGAATGGATATTTCTACCCAATAAACAGAGTAAAAAATTAAAAACTTATGTGGAAAAGATCTCTGACTTGATTTAACAGGAAAATTGAGACTTCATCAATTAGCAGGAATAGACCCAGCAGAAATTGTCATACCATTAACTAAGGAGGACATTGAAAAATTATGGGCAGAAAGTGAACTTTGGCAAAGAGTTTTCAGTAATTTCTTGGGAGAGATTAACAGCAACTATCCCAAAAGTGATAGAATTGAACTTATAAAGAGAGTTGATTGGATTTTGCCGAATTGCATGGGAAAAACCCATATCTGGACTTTGTACATTTTATAAAGATGCAAACAAAAAAAGAATGGCAGGTTACAAATCAGAAAATTTAAGTAAAGTGGTGCAAAGTTCCTGTAATTTGATTCAAAAATTGGAATTGTATGCTATTCTGTTGGTATTAATGGATTTTTCAGAACCTCTCAACATAGTAACTGACTCTCAGTATGCTGAAAGAGTGGTATTACATATTGAGACTGCAGAATTTATCCCTGATGAGTCAGAATTAACTTCACTATTCAGTTATAAGATAAAATCAGGAATAGGAAGCATCCCTTATATATAACTCACATCTGATTCCATACAGGTCTTCCAGGTCCCCTAGCACAAGGCAATGATGAAATTGATGAATTATTGATAG